TTTAGAAATAATTAACAGGTACCTTCTTTTATTATATCATATACTATTGTAGTTAAGGTATGTAGTCTATAGCCAGGCTGACAGAATTTCTTTTTTTAATTTGATTTCTAGCTTCACCACTTACTAGCTGTGGTGTGACTTTATCTTCTGTGCCTCAGTTTCCACATCTGTAAAACAGTGATAAAAATAAAATACTTTTGTCAAAGCGTTGTGAATATTGAAAGTTTTAATATTTTTAAAGTGTTCAAGCATACTGGTGTTATGTAAGTGCTCACTGTTACCAGTAGTAGTAGTAATATTTCTTTCTTTGTTGTAGTTTAACATCAGACTCTTGAAGAGTTCTTGCTACAACAGTGATTCTTAAATGGATTCTGAATAGGAATAGGGAGATGTAGCATACTTCATATTTTATAATACTGTTACATTAAGAGTATACTTTTTATAACAGTATTCATGGGGGAAAAACAACAAAATCTTTTTGGATATAGGGGATACACAGAAGACAGGCTTTAAGGCAGACGATTACAGCTACTACTACTAAATAATAATAGTAGCTAATATTTATAAGCGCTTACTGTATGTCAAGCACTAAGCTAAGGCTTTTACATGGATTGTTCCATTTAAACTTCATTTGTTAGATGTTGCAACTAAGGGTTAGAGAGATTAAGGAATTTGTCCAAGTTAGTAAGTGGTAGAAATGGGATTCATACTTGGGTAATCTGATTTTAGGGCCTGACCTCTATGCTGACAGAGTGATGTAAAAGATTTTTACATTTCTCAAAATAGAGCATAGATAAAAAATATTGAGTAATACTGCCATAAACATTTAATTAGAGGTGTTTATATGAGGCTGATGGAGAGATTTTTGTTGAAGAATGTATATACTCAACTGAAATACAGGTAAAATATATTAGTATTACTATTATTTACCAAAGGCCTTTATAATGTGTTAGTAATATGATTGTCTTGATTCTTCCTATGTTTGTGAGTTTTCCTTTAGCTTTAAATAGCTAGTCAGACAACTCCTTCCTCTTGCCTTGAATTCTCCTTGTGATATTTTATATTTTTTTGTATGATTTTTTAATCTGATGGAATAGATCCAATGTCACAAGATCTAGCGACTCCAGATATTAATTTGGCTTTAGAATATCTTTAAAACCACACTGGCAATATTTTAAGTCTTTGAAGGAGAGCCTTTGCTTTTTTCTATTATAATGATATCCACCATCTGTTTGGCTGGTTAAGTTGAATCATATGATGAGATGGTTCAGTACTTCAGAAAGTTAAAAAGTAAAGCAAATTTTATGTTGTGTGTATTTTACCACTATATACAAAAATAAAAAAGCAAAGCAAATTTGGAGTGGGGCGGGACAGATGAATTACAAAGTGGCATGAGAAAACTTGAGAGTGATAGATACGTTCATTATCTTAATTTTGATGATCTCACAGGAATATATAGCTATGTTAACACTCATTAAATTATATAGTTTAAGTATGTATAGTTTATTGTTTGTCAATTATATTTTAGTAATCTATAAAAATATAGCATACAATTATCCCCTCCCCCCACACACAGCAATGACTTCTGAGAAGTTCCTGTAAACATGTCTTTGGACGTGTTAAGTATTTTTCTATTAAAGATTAAGGAATTTTAACTTGCAGTTATGGGAAATAACTGGTAAAAATGTGACATGGCACTTATCCCCTTGATTTATGACACTTAAAACTGCTTTGTATCATGAATGAAAAGTACGGGTGCCTTTAAAATACCACTTATTTGTAATGTCAGAAGAGGGAGGAGTAGAGATTAAAAAATTCTTTATTGCTTAAATTGAATGCTTGTTAGGAAATCCTAGCAAAACTATCCAGTAGAAAAGATCTGCAAATCTGTATAGCTGACAAATCAGGCAGCCTCTGAATCAGGCCAGCGGCCACGTCAGTTCTATTTGATTGGTCCTGGGACCTTGTTTACCTTTAGATAACTGATCTTTATTCCACTGTTGAGTTAGGCTGGTCTGACTTAAGTGTGCAAAAGCATAAGGGACCCATGCTGTAGATAGAATGTTTTCAATAGAAGAAAGCAACATGATGAGACAGCTGATGATGAGCTTCTTTTTAAAAGTTTGGGGTTTCTGGGAGACAGCAGAATATAGTGGTAAGGACTTTGGAATTAGACAAATCTGAATTTAAATCCTGGCTCTCCCACTTACTAGCTATGTGATCTTTTAGGTTGCTTAACTTCCCTAATCCTTGGTTTTCTCATTTGTAAATTGGGGATAAGGATACCTGCTTCTCAGATTACATAGGTTCAATGAAAATGATGTATATAATTTGTCTAGCACATTAAGTGTTCAAAAAACATAGCCATTGTTATGACTGTTGCTGTTTGTTATCTTCCATGAAAGACATTTAGATTACTAAACATACTTCTTGGAATATGTATCATGTATACTGATTCAAAGAGGAAGGCAAGGGAATCAGAGACCCCAAAAGACAATCTTATATGAGGGCCTACCTGTGTAGAAATTGTTACAAAGCATTTTAAAAATTAAACTTTTATTTTGATCAAAAAAGGTAAAGCCTATATAAAAGTTATAAGAATGTTAAAATGAATTCCTTTATGTCCCACCTAGAATCACACATTGATAATATTTTCCATATTTGCTTTACCTTTTTTTATGTAACATGTGCCTTTTTTTTTTTTTGCACTGAGAGTAAGTTGCAGAGATCATGACCCTTTATCCCTAGATTTTTCAGCATTTATCTCCTAAGAACAAGGACAGTCTTTTACATAACACAGTGTAACTATCAAATTTGGGAATTTTAACATTGATAGGTATTATTATCTAGTACACCATCCATATTCAACTTTTACTGATTGTCCTCATAACTATTTTTATAACGATTTCTCCCTCAATCTAGAATTTTGTATTACATTCAGTTGTCATTCCTTTGGTTTCTTTTAATGTGCAATAGTCCTTCAGCCTTTTATTATTCTTCATGAATGACATTTTTTGAAGAATACAAGCTTATTGTTTTGTAGAGTGCTCTTTAATTAAGGTTCGTTTGCTTGTGCTTGTTCCTCATAAATCCATGTAGGTTATGCATTTTGGGGCAGGTAATGTGTCCTTAGTTCTTCATTTCAGAAGTTATTATTGGTGATGTTAATCCATTTTGATCACTTGGATAAGAGATTTTTTTCACTTATAAAGGTAACTCTTTTCCCTTTGTAATAAATAAGCAATTTGAAATTGTGTAAATATCCTGTTCCTCAACAAATTTTCCCCCAAGTGTCATAGAATCCTAAGGAGCATTTGCATATCCCAAACATGTGGTTTCCTCACCTGATTGAAGCCTTCTTGAGAAAATAGTTTTTACTTTAAAAATTATTTATAGTACTTTGCACATAGCAAGTACTTAAGATTATTGACTACTTGAACTTGAGCTGCCTGTCACTAGATTGCTAATTACATTTTTGGAATGGATTTTGTCTACCTACCCAGAGAAGAATTTAACAGGTACTTACAGAGAAGTCCTGTCCTATGCAAATTAGAAATGGTCACTAATTGGACATTAGGCATTCTTAGCAGGCTTCTCATACCAGTGTGATGGGAGTGGTAATACTGACCTGGATCTTTTGAAAGAATAGATAATGAAGAAAAGCTCTTATCATCACTGGAAAAACTCGTTAAATGTATAGTACCCTACTTCCATTTTAATTTGCATTTGTGATGAAAGGAAGTTTCTGGGCGGTGTTCATCTTTCACTTTAGACTCACATTTTTTCATGTCAGCCTGATATCTAGCCACGACTCATGGAGTGTCACCTTCAGTCTCTAAGGATTAGATCAGGTTTCTTCCCTTGGAATTTAGCTGGAGGAAAGAAAATAAGTTACAATTGCTGTTGCTTAGATGACATCTTATTCAGGACTGCTTATTAGAGGAAATGAGGAAGAGTAGAATGTCCTCATTCTGTCTGGCTTTTGTTTTGTTTTCTATCTTTGCTCTGAGGATCTTTCTTCCATATCTTCCATACTATACCATATCTTGGCCAGAGATGGCATTTGATCATTAAAGTTCCTCTAGCCCCAGTTTTTTGGCTGATGCATGAAATTTCATCAATATCAAGAAATTAATTTATGCAAATACGTTACTCAAGAAAAATGTAGATATCCTTGCAGGAGTTTGGAGAGGTAGCAAAAGCCAATATCTAAACACGAAACATCAAATATTTAGAACTTTTATGTGATAACTAGTTGCTAGACGCTCTCTGCTAAATGAGACAGGAGTAAATATTTTTTTCTCGGGGGAAGGAGAAGCCCGAGTGGGGTTTTAATGTTGGGGAATCTGAACAAGCTTAAGGTGCTAAGACTCTGAAAAAGGAAGGGGAAATGAATATTGAAGAAGGAAAAGGAAGGACATTTAAAAGATGCTGTATACTTACACCACAATTTTCAGAGATTCGGACTCTCAAATCCACAGAACATTAAGAGTTAAGAAATGTATGCTTTGTTAAACCAGGAACTGGTGATGGCCATTCCTTTAAAAAAGGCTTTTTTCTCCATCTGTACCAAAGACATAACCCTTTACATTTCCTTCATTGGTCATACCTCCAGGTGTCCCAGGGATGATATAAGGGGTAATGGTGAAGTCTGTATAACTAATTTTCTTAGCCATGTTATTCCAATCTTCTGTATGCAGTCAGGATATGAAATTAGTAGGTAATATTCAGGCTTCATTGGTTAAGGGCAATAATTTTCAACGTCAGGTGATTAATTGTGGCCATTGTTCCACAGAGAGGCACTTCAGTGTTTCTACTAGAGCCTTTTTGTTGTGAAGCTTTGTTTTTGCCTGATGCAATTGGCTCATCTTTGTGAAGTGTGTGCTATGGAATTGAACTTTTGCTGAGTATATCTGTGTTAATAACATCTTGGAAATACTGGTGACAGACTTTTTCCCACCCCAGTAAGAAAAAAATTCTTTTTCACTTTCTATGACCAGTTAAAATAATATGGATGCACAGAATTCAGCCAAAGTCAACACAAGGAAGAGGAGGAAAGAGGCACCTGGACCCAATGGAGCAACAGAGGAAGATGGAATTTCTTCAAAAATTCCACGCTGTGCAGTTGTAAGTAAGAGATTTCTATGTTGCACACTTTACCTGGCAAGGGGAGGTAGAAAACTGATATAGCATTGATGATATCAGTATTAAGTCTTCTTAAATAATAGAGTGAATGAATAATAAGTAAGTATTTTTACAGTTGTTAGAAATCTTATGCTTTCTCACTAGATTATAACTCACAGCTCAGTTGTAAGAGCTTTACATTGGAATTGAAAAAATAATGTTAGGAAAGTTTGGAGGTTGTATATTAGGCTAAAGATCAATATCAAATGATTGAAATAGAGAAATTGGGGTTCCAGGCAGTGATCTGATCTTGTTATCATCTCATGGTTTTCTGTGTCTTACTATCTTTTCTCCCATATCATTCATCCACTCTATTACTGGTTATATTTTAGATGAGAACCTTATTCTAATACTGCCTACCTTATCTTCCTTTATCTCTGGGATGTTATCTTTGTATTTCTAACTATTGCCAAAGCCTTCGATGAAGGACCCCATTCCAAACTGCTCATCCTGTGTCAGGTTGGTACCTTTCCTAAAGCTTCCCCTAAAAAACATGTCAAAGAACACACAATTGAAGTTAATATTGTTATGAAATCCATATTTTGAAATCCTAGTGACAGAATTGCATGTTTCTGTATTTTCTTTACCTATACTAACCATTAGCCACTGATTAAACTGCAGTTTCCATTGGTTAGTTCTGGAGCTTCATAGCCCACAGGGAAAAACATTTCTACTCTGACACAGTTAACAGTTGTTCCAAACCAATCCTCTATCTTGAGCAACAAAAGCAACTGGACTCCACAAATAGAGCGCATATGTTTCAGGCCTGATTTTGATGATATAGGTGGGGGCAAGTGTGTTAGTTTCCTACTGCTACTGTACCAAATTACCACAAATTTAGCGGCCTAAAACAATACAGATAGGTTGTTTTATAGTTCTGGAGGTCAGAAGACTGAAATAAGTCTCAGAGACCTAAAATCAAAATGTTTGAAAGGCTGGAGGTTCTAGGGGCGAATCTGTTCCTTTGCCTTTTTCAGCTTCTAGAGGTTGCCTACATCTCTTTGCTCATGGTACCAGCCAATTGTCATATTACCCTGACTGCTACTTTTGTCATCACATCTTCTGATTCTGATTCTCCTGCCTCCCTCATTCACTTATAAAGACCCTTGTGATTACATTGGACGTACCTGGATAACCCAGGATTATCTACCTGTCTCAAAATCCTTTAACTTATCCACATCTGCAAAATCCCTTTTGCTATGTAAGGTAGTATAGTCATAGGTTCTAGAGAATAAGATGTAGACATTTATTTGCATATCACAGCAAGTAAACTCAGAAAATGACTTAGCAGTCAACGAAACAGGGCATTATTAATTTCTGAATATTTCTTACAGAGTTAGGTTAAGGAGATGGTGGTAGGCACCAATTCAACAATCTCACTTGGAGTAGAGACAAGTTATGAGACTCTTAGCCAATCACCATAGCCAGTAATAGAGCAAAGAAGGCCAGTCTTAGTGGAATGGGCTCTGAGAAGATTTAAATTTCTTGGTCCTTAGAATCCAAGTAATCTCAGTGCTTTAAATTACTTTGCTTCATATAGTCATGTCACAGATCAGTTGAGTGACTTGCTACCTATTTCACATTCCTCTCTGGTACACGCTGGCTCTTTAGCATGTGCTAATGGTTAAAGGTTCACTCACCCAACTTGCTAAACCGATCTTACTGAGGAATAGCTGTTAAGTAAACTTGCATTTCATCTTCACTGTATACCTGTACTTTCTCTGAATCCTTTTCAGCTCTGTAGCAAAAGCGATCAACATTTTAAAAAAATAATAGCTTTATTGAGATCATTTAATCTACCCATTTAAACTGTACAATTCAGTGGTTTTTAGTATATTTACAGAGTTGTACAACCATCACCATAACCAATTTTAGAATATTTTTATCACTCCAAAAGAAGCTATGTACCCATTAGCAATCACTCCCTATTTTCTCCCAACCTTCTCAGCAGCCTCTGGAAACCACTAATCTACTTTTGATCACTATAGATTTGCCTGTTCTAGATGTTATATACAAATGGCATCATACAATATGTGTTTTTTTTTTGTGGCTAGCTTCTTTCACTGAGCATGTTTTCAAGATTCATTAATGTCATAGCATGCATCAGTACTTATTTCTCTTTATTGACAAATAGCATTCCATCATATACCACATACTATACTTTATCCTTTCATTAGCTGACATTTGTGTTGAGCAAACAGGATTTTATGACACACTTATAACATGCTAGCATGGCAGTAGGTACTAGAAGTGTAAAGATAAGAAAGACCTTCCTTTTGAGAGATGTGAGTGTGATGTAGAGCTCCATAATAAATCAGAGCTCATTATCTTCAGAAAAGTACTTTGCTCACAAGTGGAGAGGATCACCAAATATCAGTAGCTGCATTGATGGATCAGGATGAAATGGATAGAAGAGAGAGAGAATAGAGTTGGGGAAAAATTAAGGGAAAATTTTATGGCTAGTTTGTCTATAAGTATAAAGAACTTACTGATACAGATGTTTCTAAAGGTATAATCAAAAGGATTGCAAAAATATTTACAAAGAATAAAACATTTATCCTATCCTAAAATTATCATATGTATGAATAAGTCGGAAAGTACCTAAACTGGGGAAAATTGGCCACAGTTCTGCTTATGGAGATAGATCTCTTAATCTCATTCCAATAAACATATATTGAGAACCTCTATGTGCCAATTGCTAGAATTGGAGATTCAAAGATGAAAAGATGACTTTGCTCTTAAGAAGCTTGCAGACGAATAGGGCAAAGAGACATAATTAAGATACAGTATGAAAAGGGCCAAATAGAAGGTTAGAGGAACAGTGGCTATCTAGAGGATCAACAGATTAACTTTATCAGAATGCAGAGGATGACTCCTAGGTTCCAGGCTTAGGTAGATTGTGTACATGGGATGCTTCTCAGATAAGGAGGAAGAACTGGTTTAGGAGGAAGACAATAAGTTTAGTTTAGTACAAGTTCAAATTAGAAGGTCTGTGAGACATTCAAATAGTTAGATGAGCTCATTTACATTCATTTATAGTGAGTGAAGTGGCAACTGGAGTCAGGGAGAAGTACTGCTTCTCTCTTCCTCCATCCCTCCCCAGGGGTAGAGTTTGCTCTGTTCATTATTCCTTTTTTCTCATACCACATAGTATTCCTCTTGACTATATAGCCTTTCCCTTGGCATTATTGTAATAATTTATATCTCAGGAGAAGCTGTTACCATTTGTGCAGAATGTTTGGGTAAAAGAGAAACTCTCTCTGTGGCATTCCGAAACGTTATGCTGAAAAATGTTTAAGAATCTTTAGAATTAGAAAGAGGACTGGAAAGCTAATATCAAGTTCTACTTTTATATTATTTATCTCCATTTCTCTGTTAATAAAGATACCAGAATCTCTTCTCTTTCATTGGAATTTTGAAGAAGAGTGAGTTAATGTATATAATCAAAATCAGGAAAAAATTTTATGGAAGCAATATTGCATTCAGAGGATCACTTATAATTTGGAGGATGATGATCATTACTAGTTATAATTTTTAGTTGTATTAGTTATAATTTGCATAGATTTAGAAACTAGCATTTAGAAGCTAACTTCTTAGATTAATGCAATTAATTAATTTTGTTGGCATAATGAAACCTGTGTTCATAGAATGGAAGAAAAAATGAGCTAATGTTGATGAGGAACTAAATTTGTTGAGCGCCTACTATATGTGAAATATTGTGGGGCAGGTAATATCTTCCATTTTATAGAAGATGAAATGAAACTTAGAAGCTTGCTGTGATTTCGCAACTTTTAAGTGATGAAGCTGAGATTTAGATCTGAGTCCTAAACCCTTTCATTTATGCTTCACTACCAGATAGTAAAAAGACTTGAAAGCAGTATTATTCTGCAGGATTCCCTTGAGGTTAAAATGAAGGAGGTATGTTTTATAACAAAAGTAGAAATACTTAGTCCTACTTTTATAAACCTGTTTCTAGTGACACTGTTCTCTAATCGAGAAGAGAATAACAGTGTTTTAAAAAATACTTCACCTTCTAACTGGAGGCAACCCTAGAGAGATAAAGATTTTGCTGATCTCCTGTAGCTAAAGAACCCTAGATTTCATTCTCTATTCTTAGGAGGAATTGATTCAGCACAAACCCTTGCCAGGAGAGACAGCTGCATTTGCCCTCTACCTTGGAACATACAGGGTATACTACAAAGAAGATTGAAGAAACAGAGTTATGAAAGATAGGATACTTTTAATATACCTTTTTTAATTGAGATAAAATTCACCTAACATAAAATTTACCATTTTAATATTTTAAACTGTACAATTCATTGGTTTTTAGTATATTAACAATGTTGTACAACCTTCACCACTATCTAATTCCAGAAAAAGAAACCCCACAAAAAGAAACCCTGTACCCATTAGCAGTCACTCCCCATTCCCCTCCCTGTCTACCACCTGGCAACCACTAATCTACTTTTCATCCCTAAGGATTTGCTTATTTTGGATATTTCATATAAATGGAATCTATAATATGTGGTCTTTGTGTCTGGCGTCTTTCATTTAGCATAATGTTTTCAAGGCCCATCTAGGTGGTAGCGAGTATCAATACGTCATTCCTTTTTATAGGTGAATAGTATTTCATATGGACATACCATTTTGTTTATCCATTTAGCAGCTGATGGATATTTGGATTGCTTCCATTTTTGGCTATTGTGGCTATTATGAACATTGTTCATGTACAGGTTATTTTTTAAATGTATGTTTTCATTATCTTGGTTAATAAATACCTAGGAGTATAATTTCTGGTTCATATGGTATTCTGTGTTTAATATTTTGAAGAACTGTTTTCCAAAGCTCTATACCAGTTTATGCTCACAGAAGCAGTGTGTGAAGATTCCTGTTTCTCCTCACTATCATTGTTATTGCCTGTCTTTTTTTGCTTTTAGCTATCTTAATGGGTATGAAGTAGTATCTCATTGTGGTTTTGATTTTCATTTCCATAATGACTAATATTGTGGAGCATCTTTTAATGTGCTTTTTGGCCATTAGCATATCTTCTTTAGAGAAATGTCTAGATCCCTTTGTCTAATTCTTTACTTCTTCTGCCTCCCTTCCATTCTCCAGGGTATAACCCTAAGTCTTTCACAGTTCCTATTAAATTATTTATTTCTCTTTCTGGACCTATTAACTTGGTTTCTAAAGAGTAAAGTTTCTAGCTTGATCAGTAGTTCCATTAATTACTTGCTCATGCTCTACTACATTTCCCGCAACATCTATTCCGAATATTTTCTTCTTTCCTTAAACTTTCAGTCTCATTCCAGCCTCCCTGTTCTTCACAGGTAACTTCACTTCCTTTTTTACTATATGAGAAAATCGAGGGCATCAGATATGAGTTTGTACATCTTTCCTTCTTTACAACACTATCCTTTCCTTTCTTTTGCTTTTTGAAAAATGTGATATTTTCTATTTCTAGAGCTAACACCTCCCCCTTGCTATCCTTTGAGGACATTCCTTGCCATTCCTCTAGACGCTTCCTTCCTTAATTACCTGTTTTTTCTTTTCTGGTATCTTCAATCTCTTTGGCTCTTTTTCCTCTGTCTTGGAGTGTACACATCTTAATTTTTTTAAAAAATGCTTTCACTTGATCCTTCTGTCCCCTTTAGGTAACTTTTTCTCATTATCTTTATGGTCACACATCTCTAATGAGAGGTTATCACTAATTTATTTCTTTGTCCTCCAGTTTTCTTAAAGGCTCTAGTGTTCTGATTCTAAAAGGTCTCTAATAGTCATTTGAATCTCTAAATTTAAAGACGTTTCTCACTTCTTACATTCTTTGATCTCAGCTCCTTCTTTTAAAACTTCTCTAGTTCTGGTAATGGTACCACAATTTTGTTTTCTTCACTTCAAAATCTTACTTATTATAAACTCCCCTCTTTCTCAAGTGACGATATTTTTTTCTTTTTACCACGTTCCACCTACACAAAATCTTTTATCTATTACCCTTTCAACTCCCACTGCAACATTAATGGAAAAATCCGTAAGTCCATGTGCTTCTTCCTATAATAATATCTGAACTGATCATTTCTAAGTATGCAAAATAACCAGTAGTTTCATGGTAAACTGGCTCACTTGGCAGTGGGGAACTTTTGATATGTAGCATTTTTTGAATTCTGTGACTGATTTCAAGCTACCAATGATTTAATAACTGGCCCACAAAATTCCTGAATACTTAACCAACTTCAGCACACCATTGATAATAACTTTCAGAGACACTATAAGGCTGGTCTTTTATTTACATGTACTATTGTTAATAAGCATAGTTTTTTCCTATTTGTTTCATATATATTTTTAGTATTTTGCATATATAAAACAATATATACAACTTTATTGAGATATAATTCATATACCATTATAATTCATGTACCCATTTAAAATGTGAAATTCAATGGCTTTTAGAATATTCAGAGATGTGCAACCATCATCATAACCCATTTTAAAACATTTTTTACCCCAGAGAGAAACCTTGTACCTATTAGCAATCACTCCCTGTTTCTCTCCAACCCTCCCAACCCAACGTAAACACTAGTCTACTTTCTGTCTATAAGTTTTCTTATTCTGTGCATTACATATAAATAAAATCATATAATAAGTGGTCTTTTGTGGCTGGCTTCTTTCATTTAGCATAATGTTTTCAAGGTTCATCCATGTTGTAGCATGTATCAGTACTGCCTTCCTTTTTATGGCCAAATGCCATTTATTTCTTGAGGTATAACTTACATACAGTAGGATGCGTAAACCTTAAGTGTACAGCTCAGTAAATGTTTATATATGTATACATCCGTGTAATC